TGGGTTGCCTCTTGCCTGTCCCCAACCAGGAACCTGGCCCGCAATCCAGGCATGTACCCTGACCAGGAATCAAACCTGTGACGCTTTGGTTTGCAGAATGATGCCCAACCCACAGAGCCACACCAGTCAGGGCCCCCTTCATTATATTGCTGGAAGGCTATGAGGATCAGGTTTAGGAAAGTTCTAAGAGAAGTTGCTATGGATTTTCCCCCCACAAACAACTCCCCCCAGCTAATATTAGGGCTGCCTGCACTGAGACAGCAGGACATTCCTCTTGGTACCACTTGATTCATACTGAGAAATATTAGTCTTTGGACCAGTGGTTCTAAAACTGGGGTGATTTTACACCCTGAAGACATTTAGCACTGTCAAGAAATATTTTTGGTTGAAAGAGGGCGCTACAGGCATCTAGCGGCTCCTGGACAGAGATGCTGCTAAACGTCCTATACAGGGCAACCCCTCTCAACGAAGGATTACCCAGCTCAAAGTGTCAATAGTGCTGAGGTGCAGAGCCCCTGGCTTACGGAGGACTCAGGCTTTGCTGTCAGGACCATGCCGGTGACCTTGGGAACATAGTGTAACCTCTCTGAACCTTAATTTCCTCACCTATAAAATGGAGCTAATAACATCATCTCATGAGGTACAGTTAAGTTTAAAAGATAATTAGTGTGAAAAGTACTATCCAATTACTCTTTTGAAATTAGTCGTCCTTATTAATGGATCACCACCCTCCGCCTGGGTGATTTAATTTTTCAGCGTACTTCAGGCATCTCTCTGTGTTGGTGTACAAAGGAGACTCAACTCACCCCTCTCCATTCATCTGGGGTATCTATGTTCTTCTGGTTCTGAGTTATTAAGTAGCTTTTTAACTCCTCCGTGGTATCTGCTTATGTCCTTTCTTTAGCAGTTGTTTTTCCCTGGCCAGCGGACTCCTCTGTGTGTTGTGGTAATGGTCCTTAGCAGTACTTTTTTAGTGGTCTCTGATGATTTTTCCAGAAACTGTGCCTTCTGACTAATAATCTTAATGCACCTCATAACAACAATCAAGTGTGTGGCAAGGGTAAGTTAAGGATTATGCCTGGTGCTTGGAGAAATATAAGTATAGTATTTGTTATCAAGTTTGTCCTTTTTATCACAAGCTAAATTTTCACCACTTGTGATTTACATCTAGGGTAAGTTGTGCCATTCAGTGTTTCAGAAGAATAATTTGGTAACCCTTGAAGAAATTAGCTCTGTTAACTATGACCCTCAAGAGGTTTACCCTTGATTCTTTTTCTAACAGAGCACGCTCCATAAATTCACATATCCAGAGGTCGAATTTCCAGCTCCTTTGCCCTGCCTCATATAGGTAAACACTTCAAAATAAGCTAAGTAACTGCATCCTTATTTTCCTGAAAGTTCCCTGAATAGTCCAAATCAGGTAACACTTTAACAATACTTTAGCTTTCACCCACATCATTTCCTGGGTGAATCTGGCCAGCTGGCTTGCATTTTATTCAAAGGAAGCAAAGCATCTTTCTCATGTATATTAGTTTCATAAAACAGCTATTTGGCTATTTCATATAGCAAAGCCTATGGACATATCGCAGTATTCTCTGAAAAGTGCATGGATAGGTAAGTATGTATTTAAAATTTTACAGATTCTTGATTTTTTTTTTTTAAAGGCAATATAGGAGGTAGGGAGAACATCTGGTCAAGATGGAGGCGTAGGTAAACACAGCTTGCCTCCTTGCACAACCACATCAAAATTACAATTAAACTATAGAACAACCATCAGTCAGAACCAACAGAAATTGAGTTAAATGGAAGTCCAACAACTGTGGAATTAAAGAAACCACATCCATTCAGACTGGTAGCAGGGACAGAGATGCGTAACAGGCTGGTCTCATATTCACATGTGGTGGATAAAAGTTTAGGAGGGATATTTTGGGACCTAGGAGTCCCAGCCCCATACCAGAGCACCCTATCAGTGCCAGGAAGATAAGTCCCCATAACTTTTGGGTACAAAAACCAGAGGGGACTGAGTCGGTAGAAAAACTGTGGGAGTCCCAAGCAGTTCCTTTTGAGTTCCCACACATGGACTCACTCCCTCTGAGCTCCAGCACCAGGGTAGCAGCTTAAAAGGCACGAGTCGCATACAGGGAGGAACTGAGGTGTCTGGTGTCAAGGTGAGAGCCAGGGGACAGTTTTTTCCCCAGATAGAAAGGAGGGCAGAGGCCATTGCTCCTTTTCTGAACCCTCTCCCCGCGAAGCCACAGAATCCAGAAAAATGAGGCTAGTGCCAGGAGTCTCTGGGACAACTTCAAGCCTTCCAACATTCGCATCATAGGGATACATAAGGAGATGAGAAAAGGCAAGAAATTGGAAATCTATTTGACAAAATAATGAAAGAAAATTTTCCTAATTTGATAAAGGGAATAGACATGCAAGTTCCAAGAAGCACAGAGAGTCCCAAACATGATGGATGCAAAGAGGCCCATTCCAAGACACGTTGTAATTAAAATGCTTTAAAGTTTAAAGATAAAGAGAGAATCTTAAAAGCAGTAAGAGAAAAGATTTACTTACTTACAGAGAAGTTCCCATAAGACTGTTAGCTGATTTCTCAAAAGAAACTTTGCAGGCCAGAAGGGATTAGCAAGAGATATACAAAGTCATGAAAAGCAGGGACCTACAGCCAAGATTGTTCTACCCAGCAAAGTTATCATTTAGAATTGAAGAGCAGATAAAGAGCTTCCTAGACAAGGTAAAACTAAAGGAGTTCATCATCTCCAAACCTTATTATATGAAATGTTAAAGGGACTTATTTAAGAAAAAGGAGAAGATCAAAACTATGAACAATAAAATGATGATAAATACGTATCTATCAACAATTGAATCTAAAAAACAAACTAAGCAAACAAGAAGAACAGAGACAGAATCACGACACAGAGAGTTTTGATGGTTGCCAGATTGCGGGGCAGGGCGGGGGGTGGTGAGGTGGGGAAATGGTGAAGAGTTGAGGGGATTAAGAAGTACAAACAAGTAGTTACAGAATAGCCATGGGGATGTAAAGTACAGTACAGGAAATGGAGAAGCCAAAGAACATATATGCAAGACTATGGGCAGGAATGATGGTGTGGGGACTGCCTGAGGGAGTGGGGGTGTTCGGTGGAGTGTGGTAATGGGGCAAGTATAATAGCATAATCAACAAAATAGAATTTATTTATTTTTAAAATTATTTTTAGACAGAGGGCAAGAGAGGGAGAGAAACATCAATGTGTGGTTGCTTCGTGAGCGCGCACCCACTGGGGACCTGGCTCAGAACCCAGGCATGTGCCCTGACCAGGAATTGAAACAGTGACCCTTTGGTTTGCAGGCTGGTGCTCAATGCATTGAGCCACACCAGCCAGGGCAACAAAATATAATTTAAAAAGGCAAAATATTAGTTAGTCCCAATCTTCTTGAAATTAATGGTGAGCCCTTAGTACAATGAATTATGTCTCCATAACAGGGAGAATCTTAGCTATCAAGAAAACAGAATGTACTCAGAAACCTCTGAAGGGCAGAGAAGAGGGAGGTTTCTCACCTTTTCCAGACGAATGCCTTTAACTTTGGAGATTAGTGATCATTTTATCACTGGACTAACAAAGGCAAAGGCTGAACTAGTCCCAGCATTGTAAGGAAGTGAGCAGGATACTCACCAGCAGGGGAATCTTGGTTCATAAGTTAGCAGACTAGGAGTATTTACTCTTACGGAACTACATGGTCCCCACAGGTAGGAGAGCAGTCTTTAATCAAAGGATTCATTGTCCTACCATTATTTAAATGTTTTTTAATGTAATATGACAGACTTCAAGACCCAGCAGAGCTATTAAAACAGACTTCTGTTACTCAAATGTATTCATTTAAAGCTCGGTTTTTCAATCTCAGCACTTTTGACATTTGGGGCCACTGTTGTGGGTCTTGTCCTGTGCATTACTGGATTTTTTTCAGCAGTCCTGGCCTCTACTCACTAGATGCTGTGGGCACACCACCAGTTATGACAACCAGTAATATCTTCAGACATTGACAAGTGTCCCCTGGGGGGAAAAGGCCCTGGACTGAGATCCACCGCCCTAGGCATTCTAATCTATATACACTAATACTGTGTATTATATCTATTTTGGGGAGGTGAAACTTAGTATAGTCTATGTCCTTAAGGAGCTCCTGATTCCTTCATTCACTCAGGAAATATAGCATCTGTTGAACACCTGACAATGTCCCTTCCAGGCAGAGTGAGTGTCACCTACTAAGGCCCTGGGGCAAAACAAAGCCTGGGTGTTAGAGGAAGGTTCATGGGGGCCAGGTGGAATAAAAGGAGGAAAGCGGCATGAAGTGAGGGTAGAGACACAGGCTGGTCAATTCATTCTGGGGCTTATGAACTATTGTAAGAAGTTGGGATTTATTTTAAGTGTGACAGAAAAAGACTAAAGAACTCTATCTAGGAAATTAAGTTAATCTCATCTGTGTTTTAAAAAGGTCCTTCTGCCCTATATAGAGGATAGAATGAAAGGGTCAAGAGTATAAATAGGGAGGCAAATGTAGTTAGTTGTCCAAGAAAAAATGAGGGTGGCTTGGACAAGGTAGAGACTGAGAGCAGACAAGTCTATGATACTGGTGTGTTAGACACCAAGCCAAAGAAAAGAGGGGAATCAAAGTTTAATATGCAGGTTTCATCCTGAGAAACTTGGTGAATGGCAGTGCCATTTACTGAGCATGGGAAAATCAGTGGAAGGCCAGGTTTGTGGCTAGGCCAGGGTGTGGTATTTGCTCTCCTGGTCCAATGGGGGTACAAGGGAAGGTAATCTCTATTTTCTAGGAGTTAAATTACAGAGAAAAGGCAATACTTAAAGGCAATTTGTAAATAGTTTTTCTCTCTCTTTTATTTCTTTAATTGGCACAGAGTTAGCAAGTTAAACATGTTCTTCGCAATTCTACTAAATAAAAGATATGATAAATTTCATTTAAAAAGGTGAAATACTGTACTTGGTTGGATAGCGCACATACTGAAATTGGAAAGATAGAAAGAAGATAAGCATGGCCCCCATGCAAGGATGGCCTACAGACTCTGTAGTGTTCCATATTTTTTATGCTCCAGGAGTAAATTCAGCATAAAATAAATGCTATTATATAAAAGTAAACAAGCGAAATACCAACAAACAAAAATTACTGTCTAGTAAACTGTATACAAATGAATAGGGATTCAGTTAATAAAAGATCTATGAAAGGTGGGGTAAAGGAAAGTCTCACTTTCTGAAGAATGTGAAGTTTTACTTAGGAAAAAGTCACAGATAAAGAGACCAGGGTGGCTTTGTAATTGCTTACATGCAATTGGTAGTTAATCCTTCATGACCACCTGGGTCTTCTTATTTCTCATATCTCCAAACAATTTCAGTGAAAAACGGAGGATATTCAGTTGTTTCAATAAGATTAGACTCCAAAGGTGGGTGAAGAGGGGAAGTATCCACAGCATAGTGGAAGGCTACAATGAGAAATCATTACGTTTGTGCAAAATGTCTCAGTACTGGAGGAAAATGAGGCCAAGAAACAAACCATCAAGGTTCCCAAAGAAGTTACTAACTAAAAGAAGAAATTAAGAGTCCTTATGTTTCTATGAAAAAAATACTGTAGTTCCTCAAAAAAGTTAAAAATAGAATTACCATATAATCCCATAATTCCACTTCTGGGTATATACTCAAAAGAATTGAAAGGAGGGTCTCAAAAAAAGTACATCCAGTTCATAGCAACATTATTCACAACAGCCAAAAGATGGAAGCAGCTCAAGTGTCCACTGACAGATAAATGGATAAACAAATGTGGTACGTATATATAAAATGGAATAGCATTCAGCTATAAAAAGGAAAGATACTTTGACACAGGCTACAACATGGATGACTCTTAAGGACATTATACAAAGAGAAATAAGCCAGTCACCAAAAAAAAAAAAAATCAAATATTCTATGCTTTCGCTTATATGAGGTATCAGGGATAGTCAAACTCATTGAAACAGCAAGTAGAATGGTGGTTGCCAGGAGGTGGGGGAAAGGAGAAACAGGGAGTCACTGCTTAATGGGTATATAAGTCAATTTTGTGAGGTAAAATTAAGTTCTGGAGATTGGTTGCACAATGATGTGAATATACAGGAGTGGGCAAAAGTAGGTTTACAACTGTGAGTAAGTAATACACAGAGTGTATTCTTGTATTATTTATAAATTATTGCATTATTTATTTGTATTACAACTATAAACCTACTTTTGCCTACCCCTGTATTTAATGCTACTGAACTGAACACTTAGAAATGGTCAAAGTTGTAAATTTTATGTGCTATTTATCACAAAATTTTAAAAAATTTTAAAAAGATGTCCTACATTCAAGTCACCAATATTCAATGTTCTAATATTGTATTCAGTACCATTTCTGGACATGTTCTAAATTCTCTGATTATAGAGGTCCTCCATCTATTAAAAAGCCTTGTGATATAAATGTCTAATCACAGGGGTGCACACCTGAAACTAATATAATACTGCATATCAGCTGTACTTTAAAAATTCAGAAAAAAAAAGCTTTGTGGGTAAACTACACATTTACTTTAGAGTACCAATTTTTTTGTGAGACTGTGTTAATTAGGTGCCCTTAGCATCCCATTTTGACTTATTTTAATCTTTAAAAAAGAGAGCATCAGGTGCTAACTAAAAATAACCAAGCCCTTCATTAGGGGCAAGCTCTATAAAAGGTTGCATGACTTGTAGCAGTAGGCAGAGTATTCAAGGGACACTGAGATACTGAAAGGTCTGAGCAGATTTTAATAACCTGTTTCATTGCTTTTCTAGTGTCCACTGTTTTCCCAGTCTCTCTATTGCTATGGGGGGAAAGGGGACACAACCACCACAGACTAAATTCTTAGGCCAAGTTTAATTTTTTAAAACTTCCTCCATTGCAGACTATTTTAGAAAGTATTATGCTTACCAGCGAAGATGCAGTTGAGCCTATTATTATGACCTGTATGCGTCTATGAGTCATCTTAAGGAGGTACGAAAGTTTGTTTTATATCATATGTTTGTGCTGAACCTTAAACTCTACCTCCCAAGCAATGTCTACTTTCTCTGCTTACAGCCAAAAACCCTTTCAACATTTTAGCCCCTTTCATTATCTCCACTCCACACTTAAAAAAAAAACAAAACTGTTGATAACTTTATCTTCCATTTAGTTATGCTGAAATCTGTTCAAAATTTCAGAAATTTATCAATTCAACTTAACATCAAGATAGTCCTTTTCTGCTCTTCTCCATCCTCCCAATACTTACTCAACCTTATACCATAGGTCAGAAAACCTACTGACCTATCAAATACACGTACTTTTGTCTCTAGTTCACCTCTAGGACACCTCTCCCAGTACCTCTAGGTATCCAGCTGTGAAGGTGCAATAATGTAACCAACTTTCCCTCTATTGCTCTGGCTGAGCATGTCATAAAGACTGCTGACCTCCTTGATTCTTACAAGATGTGTCATGCACAGTTACTATTGCTATCTCATCCTGGTTTCCCACGACTCTTACTTCATGCCCCTTGATCTTGACCACAAAACACTAAACAGCTCAGTCTCCTGTTTCCTTCACTCCTGCCTTTGGTCAGTCTTGCCAGCTGCCCTTTAAACTTGGAAGAGTCTCCTTTTGCATCTGCCAAAATGCTATTTCAAATGCTTCCTCCTTACTCGTGTTTGCCTGCCTGCTCTCCATATGAATGACCACGAGAACCCTTCCTAGAGCAGAAGAAAACAAGTGATGAAATGAAATCCAGAACACTTGTTGTCAATTAAATATGTGTTCTTAGAAACATCAAGATTTTCTTATTGCCTTTCCTGGTTCTTTCAATTCAATGGCAAATTACCTACAGACATATAACATCCATGGGGGGGGTGTGTGTGTAAATCTTTGTTATCTCCTGGATTTGATGCAAGAATCACTTATACCTTGTAGTAACTCAATTTTATACATTGAATCCCTTTCTTCAGAATCATCAAAAAGGCAGATTCTGAGGTCCTACGTCAGATCCACACAGTCAAATCTTCAGGACAAGAGCTTGGGGAATCTCTTGTGTCAGATAAGTTTGGGAAACATTTGACAGCTTATCAAATCATCCTGTTTTCATCAGTGTCTTAACAAGCAGAGGTCTGAAGGTGTATAGCCACATGGCCTGAGTTAGTTAGGATGTAGTCACGAAGATTTTACCTACTCCAGCCATGCTGATAATTTTACTTAAAATTAATACTATGGGATTTTGTATTCTAATTTTTGTCTTAGATTTGTTGGTTATTTTTCCCAAGTCATACTACAAGATTCTGGTGATGAATATATACTGCTTTATATCCACCCAGTGCTTAATTAGCACAGTACTGAGCACTTAATTGAAACTTAACTAAAACCTTATTGATTGGTGGATACAGGCACTGCCCAACTGAAAAAAAAAAAAAAGCATTAAAAACTCCAGGTTCTGAGGCCTACCTGAGTAGCACAACATCCTTCTTTCACCAGCAGGTTAGTGAGAATGAAAATGCAACTGCCCTGAAAGAGCAAGGCAATTATTCAATGATTTGGCCAGATTTCTAGAAACTATTGTTCTGCCTTGTCTGGCTGCCTAGATTTCTCATAATAGAGTCAACTTCCTTTCATCCCCCAAGGATTACTGCTTTGACCCTATGTTCTCTCCACCATCATGCTGGGGAGATCTCAGAGTTAATGATTTGCATCTGATAGTGTATCATAAAAAATCAAGCAGCAAGCCTGCTTTGAGGCAAGGACACACAGGAACGCCTCTCAGAGAGAAAGGGACGTTTCACGTTGAGCACTGCCAATGTTCAAGGATGCTTACTTTAAAACATACTTATTCAAAACTTGAAGACCACTCTAGATTAAAATATGTATTATATCAAAAGAAAGAAATGTGGGACCCTTTCTAAAAAGTGAAAGATGACCAGTTTTATAATATCCAGGAAAATAAAGCTGAGCAAACAGTAGAGCGCCAACTTATCCAAGAAGTTAACACTGAAACAGGTTTCAGTTTAGGGGGAGGTGTGCCGCCACTATGCTCAATATTGCACTTTATAGGATGGACCCATTCTCCATTAAATAAAAAGCTTTCAAGCAAACAATGAATGCTCCGTCTGATGAGATTCATCCCTGAAACTGAGCAGATTTCTAAATCAATGCATAGGCCAGACTATTTATAAACTACTTCCCATCAACCTCAGCACAATGTCAACTAACAATAACAAGTTAATGTTTTCCAGTAATCTTCACTGTGCTATTTAATTGCCAGCACTCAGGCCAAGGTAAACTCAGCAGTAACAAAAGAGCTAACATCACAATCAGAGAACAAGATTAATGAATTTACATTTCTGCTTTGAAGTGAATGCTGAAAATCATGCCCATAACATACCCTTTTTCAGCCATTGGACTTTAATTGCACCAAATAGTGATTTGAAGGTAAAGTGATTTATACAGTGATTTGAAGGTAAAGTTTTAAAATATTCCTGTTTTTAATTAACCACAAGCTTCAATCCTTGGGGAATTATTTTTTAGATCTAGAACATCCTCTTCATAGTATTATAAGTGTACAACTCTTCATGTTGTCAAACACAATTTCTAAATCCTGACCACCATTCTTAAAGTTTTTAAAAAAATTTAAATACCACCTAACATGCCAAAACTGGAGGGCACAGCTTGATGAATTTTTATATATGCTGAATTATATAGTTTTTACTTTTAATACTATAACTCAGCAAATGATTCCATTACATAAAATTATTAAAAATCATGTTTGTTCTAACAAGTACGCTATAGCATTGCTTTGCATTGGTGATTCAAAGGAGGCATTCTCATCTCTCACACTGACTTAAATGGTAACAGTAGATATTGAGTATTCATAGTATAAGAAACAGAAGCACTCACTTTTTGTGGGGAGAGGGATGAAAATTCAAAATATATAGTAAGAAAATACTCTTATAAAAATGACGACAAAAGAAGAAAAACCAAAATGTCTATCTTTTGCTACAAAAGGTAGCAACTCTGATTTTCAAACTCTTTGATTTGTT